TCAATCATGTGATTTTAGAGGCGTCAAGGAGGAAATCCTCTCCTATGACAAGGATACTCATTAATCTCATATATATATATATAATATGCAAATATTCAAACGTGAAGTTCTAAGTGAGTATGTTTGTGAAAACTCCATAACAGGTTATCTGATAGATTACTCATACTACTCATGTCATTCAACCCATTAATAGTTTATAAAAGGAAGATTAAAAAATCCGCACAAAGCTTATTTTGTGAGAATAACCAATAAAAAAAATGTTTATTATGGAATTCTCACAAAGCTTATTTTGAGAATAATTCAACCAGCTTGTTAGCATATTGATTTCAACCACATTTTGCAGATTGGACGAAAACTAGGGGACGCCATGATAGGACTTCAGCTTTAACTAGAAATCTGAAGGCTCAATAAAATTAATTGCACCTTGCCTCTTGAAAGCAAAGAAGATAAAAATCCAAAAGAATATAATCCTTGAAGCATCTCTATTGCTAATTTTTAGTATCAGAAATCTAGTCAGAACACTTTCATTTATAGATTAAGGGTTAAGAGAAATGAAAAGTAAATAATCACCGTGGTTGATATGTTTTATTACAGAAATAGCTCAGTGTGGAAAGGAATATGTCCTTGTGCACAAGTGTGTAATGCAAAGAGGGAAAAAGACCTGCTTCTTCATACTTCCAGACATTTGTTCTTGTTCATGAATGGCCTGTTCAATTCTTCGCACTGCTGCTCTCGCACTCTCAATCTCCATACGAGCATTAGCTTTTTCCTCTTCAACCATCTTCTGTGCATCTTCTGAAGCCTAGAAAGAAAAGTGACCATGGAACCAAGTTAAAATGTATTGCAATGGAAAAAAGAAGAAAATACTTCCATTGGATTTAGGTATTTTATGCACATATTTTAGATTTAGGTATTTTATGCACATTTTCTGTCCATTTTCCAACAAGTTTATTGGAATTAAATAGCTAGCATTAATATTCTTTTTGATAACATTTAATGGGGTGCAATATCAATTAGGAAACAGGATCTTGCTAAAGAGTGTCTGAGGATCGTTGAAAAGCAACCATTGGGCTCATTTCCTACTTAATTTCTTATCTTTCTAAGAGAGAGGTATCTTTTCCAAGTATCAGTTCTATCCCTTTGTTTCTTCGCTATTTTCCTACCTTTTTCCCTCTTTTGCAGAAATGACTAAAAACTTAGTCTCTGTTGGTTAAAACCATATTCCATCAGACAATTTAAAAACATGCAAACAGCCATTTTCTATAGAACCAAATCCAATTGTTGCACCCATTTGACAGCCACAGACAAGTCTTCATAAAATAGTAACAAGAACAACAACAACAATAATCAAGCCCATATAGGCTCATGATTTTAATCTAACGCCTTGATGACATCCATTAAGTATATACGAAAATGCCGCAGATCAAATTAATATCAGCACCATGAAGTGAGAATGACGACTTTCTTTATCTTGTTTTTTTTAGGTTAAAATAACAACATATTATCTATTACAGAAAATATTTTTGACAAACTTGTAATAATACTTGATGTCATGGAAATTAGGAAGGGAAATAGCAACCTTTCGAAATAAAACTGCAGCAGTCATCAGGGTGAATGACTCTTTATCTGGGTCACCTAAAATTGGTCTTTGGCAATCTCATATTTTTACCTTATGAAAGCAAAAAGGAAGTAGAGGAGGCTTATTTATTTCTTGGTAGCAATGCCCATGAAAAATAACAGATATTGAGGGACTGGATGAAATAAAATTTCCAGATAGAAATTTAAATAGACAAATCCATCAAAATCTATGTAGTAAAACCTTATGCATTACCTTTTTAAGAAGGATAGCAAGCTTTCTCACTTCTTCTTTCTCTAAAAAAATCTCTCCTTCTCTTTGAGTTAGCTGAACTGCTAGAGCTTCAACCTACATAAAGTGACCAAAGCTTGAGGTGATCAAATATTTATCTGACCTAAAAGATGAAATGAGCAACGTCAAAGAAAATTAATCCAAGAAATGAACACAGCTTGAAAAATGTGATTGTAGCAATTTTTCATTCCTCAATCACATCCAATCGCCAAAAGTTTCATGGTTGTAGTTGAAATTTTGAAAAGAAAAACAAATCTATCAACTTCCCTTGTTTGTCACTTATTTCCATAATGGTGGTCTACATTACTATCCAGTATCCACGAGTATAGAAAGCCAAACCTAGATATAGCTCATAAATCAGAAAGCATGTTCCTAATTATACACTTATCCCAATTAGGAAGATGTATGAGTTATAAAATTGTATCCATAATGTATCTTCAGTAAGTGACTCGTGCTACTATATTAAAGCTCAGATATCTAGGAGTTTATTTTCAGAGATTTAACGCTAGTCTATGATTCTCCATTTGGTAGGCACACGCATTGCAACAAAATAAGATTGAATAACTGCAAAAAGAGATAATAACAGAAACATACCATAGAGATGGCCCTGTCAACTTCATTTTTGTTTCGACCTACCACTCGTCCCCTCAGCATTTCCAGTAGGTCCCGTAGCTTCTTTAGAAGGACATGCTTTTCAAGCGACGGTACACCTCTCCACTTAGACTGAAATGTCCAATTCAAGAGTCATTAGTACAAAGAAAATAAGAAATACATGACTACAGAGTGCATGTTTCCACTAGAGCTGGATTGGTTTTTAGAACAATTGATTTTGGTGATACGGATATGGATATCATTTTTTTATTTCTTTTACAAATAATTGATCATATGATTGAAGTTATTTAATTTTAGATTAGTGGACCTAAAAGTCGATTTTTGTGATACTGTGTCGAACATGTTGGTGGGTTCTTACATGAGAAAGTTTGTTCTGTTTAGACAATTTTTGTATGTCTATACACTTTTTTAAATTATCCACTTCTCTCATATCATATTCTCTCATATCATATATACTTACTCCCAACCCATCCTCATCCATGTCTGACTTTTGTGGCTATAGACACCTGCACTTGTATTAGTACCCATACTTGTATTAGTACCAGTACTTTGTATGTCTATACAATTTGTCTCATATCTGACATATATCCATATATACTTACTCCCAATCCATCCTCATCCATGTCTGACTTTTGTGGCTATAGACACCAGTACTTGTATTAGTACCCGTGATCAGCAAACAAAATACATATACGAAAATTATCATGTCTGATACATATCCAATCCATTTGCACATTAAAGTAAGAATTTGACATTAAAGTAAGAATTAACCTTCATTACACTAACTTCTACATGCAGGTCTGCTGAGTTCAGGGCAAACCTCATCAGATAACTTGGCAGCAGTGGCCAATCCATTCTCAAATCTCTTGGTGAGGTCGCGAACAGAGAGGCGCTGCTGCTGCTCCACCAGTTGCACAGTTTCTATAGCAACAATCTCCTTAAGGGAAGGCACTTCAGGTTGCTCTTCTAGATCAATAATCACATTATTTGCTCCGATTTTATAGTTTGGGAATCGATTTGACAGAAAATCCACATCTGATGACACAGATCGAATAAAAGCCTCTTTGTGAAATGTATTGCCAAAATGAATTGTATTGCCAAAAGCACGAGTTGTCTTCGTCATCAAACTGATATTAAGTGCCGTTTTCTGCCATCATAATTTACAGTCAGTTTTATGGTTAATTTCACAGTCAATGTACCATTACTAAGGAACACCAAGAGAGCTAATAAAAATTATGTCCATAATTTACAACCAGAAAGCACAACCTTCGGTCAATCCCATCAAAAATTGCTTTACTAAAAAAACGTTTTAAGATAAAAATAATTTTGAAATTTACAGTAGAAAACTTTACCCATAAATCAAAAAGCAATTAAAAATGATAACTTGATCTCAGAAATACATAAAATATTGAAATTGTTGGAAACGCAAGTAAATTAACCAAGAAAAAGAACAAAATTTTGCAATAATCCAAAAACGATGAAATTTACAGTCGAAAACCTTACCCAAAAATTAAAAGCAATAAAAAAACGAAAGCTTGATGATATCAAATACATCAAAAAAAAAAAAAAAGTGGAAGCCCGAGAAAATTATCCAAGGAAAAAAAGAGCAAAATCAAAACTTTAGAGCATAAAATGGAGTCATCAACCACAAAAACAATAAATTTTCATGCATTCCATCGAACTTAGTGGACTAAAGCACATTTTTAAGATCAAATATAAAAACTTTGCCACAGAAACTTTAGCTATAAATCAACAACAAATAAAAATAATAATTTGATGACAGAAAACATACTAAAAAAACTGAAATTGGTCCGATCATAGAAAATCACCACGAAACAACCGGCAAAATCATAACTTTACAGTATCAAAGGAAGTAACCAAACAAAAACACAGAAAATATCAGAAATTGCTCAACTGATACTCACTATTGGACCAAACATAACGAAGCGTACAATGGAAACTTTACCCATAAATCAAAAACAACTAAAAGGCGTAACAAACTGAAATTGATGGTACCCAAGTCAACCATCCAACAAAATTCACATCAAAATCAAAACTTTACCTGCCAATTCAGCGAGAGAGGAAGACCAAAGCACATCAAAGATCTCTGGCAGCAGCCCTAGTTAAAGAACTCACTAGGTTTGTTGGCTGAAAATCCTCATTATTGTTGTTGCTCTTTTTTTGGGGGGGGGCACTTTTCTTTTGGGGAGTGGGTGAATACCACTGACAGCAACAGGGACCTGTCTTTTTACGAAATTCCCATAATTAGCGGAGCTACCAAACCCTGATCTTTGATATGATTGTGTTACGTTGGATTTGTGTTGTTTCATAACAGTAACGTCCAATGAGTCTGGTCGACAGTGTAACTGAATCCATTGGATTTCTTGCTCAGGGATCAAAAATAAAAATAAAAATAAAAAAAGGTCATTATAAGTCTGATCGTATCCATTTATTAGGCTTCATTTTAGTGGTTGTCTGGCTGGAGCGCAGAATATACCAGAAGGGAGGCGTTACAGGCACACCCTCGGGCACACCTCTGGTCACACATTCTCTGTCTACAGTGCATGGGCCCTTACTTAAGATTTTTAAAAAAAATCTCAAGTGGGCCCCCCTGCACTGTAGACAGAGGGGGGGTGTGGTCGGAGGTGTGTCCGAGGGTGTGCTTCTATCATTTCTCATTCCAGAACGTCCTCAGAGAATGAGTTGCTCCATACAATTTATGAAAGGTTGAGGTGTTAGTTAGAAATTTTTTACTCTTTTCTATAGGGGCGCCGCTGAGGCGGTTCACCCAGCTCCACAGAACAGGGCCCCCGACTTTGGGGGGCCCCAAAATCGTGCACAAAATGCAGTGGTTAAAATGTAAACTTGCATCATATGAGGAACCACGCGGAGAAGGTTCTGGCTGTCTTGAGGTTGAGGCCGACGACGAGGTTGATGATGGGGAGGTAGAGGGACCCGCCGCCGACACGGCCTGCGCTCGAGAGGGAGGCTGCTCTGAAGCAGAGGAGACCGGCTATTAAAGTTCTCAGGGTCTTCATTGTTAATTTGGTGTTTGAGGAGAAGTTTGGATTTTATATATGAGGAAGAGAGGGAGTGAGAAAATGAGGAATTTTGATGGGATTAATTTGGTTTTGGGAATAGGAATTAGTGAGTCGGTGAAGGTTTTATGAGGGCTTATTATGACCACATATTTGATTTGGTATAATGTCACCCCCTAGAAATAAGGGAGTGAATATAAAAAATAATGATAGAGGCACACCCTCTATCACACTCCTAACCACTCCACCTCTATTGCTATAGTGCACGGGGCCCACATGATATTTTATTTTTTAAAATATCATGTGGGCCAAGCATAAAATGGAGTCATCAACCACAAAAACAATAAATTTTCATGCATTCCATCGAACTTAGTGGACTAAAGCACATTTTTAAGATCAAATATAAAAACTTTGCCACAGAAACTTTAGCTATAAATCAACAACAAATAAAAATAATAATTTGATGACAGAAAACATACTAAAAAAACTGAAATTGGTCCGATCATAGAAAATCACCACGAAACAACCGGCAAAATCATAACTTTACAGTATCAAAGGAAGTAACCAAACAAAAACACAGAAAATATCAGAAATTGCTCAACTGATACTCACTATTGGACCAAACATAACGAAGCGTACAATGGAAACTTTACCCATAAATCAAAAACAACTAAAAGGCGTAACAAACTGAAATTGATGGTACCCAAGTCAACCATCCAACAAAATTCACATCAAAATCAAAACTTTACCTGCCAATTCAGCGAGAGAGGAAGACCAAAGCACATCAAAGATCTCTGGCAGCAGCCCTAGTTAAAGAACTCACTAGGTTTGTTGGCTGAAAATCCTCATTATTGTTGTTGCTCTTTTTTTGGGGGGGGGCACTTTTCTTTTGGGGAGTGGGTGAATACCACTGACAGCAACAGGGACCTGTCTTTTTACGAAATTCCCATAATTAGCGGAGCTACCAAACCCTGATCTTTGATATGATTGTGTTACGTTGGATTTGTGTTGTTTCATAACAGTAACGTCCAATGAGTCTGGTCGACAGTGTAACTGAATCCATTGGATTTCTTGCTCAGGGATCAAAAATAAAAATAAAAATAAAAAAAGGTCATTATAAGTCTGATCGTATCCATTTATTAGGCTTCATTTTAGTGGTTGTCTGGCTGGAGCGCAGAATATACCAGAAGGGAGGCGTTACAGGCACACCCTCGGGCACACCTCTGGTCACACATTCTCTGTCTACAGTGCATGGGCCCTTACTTAAGATTTTTAAAAAAAATCTCAAGTGGGCCCCCCTGCACTGTAGACAGAGGGGGGGTGTGGTCGGAGGTGTGTCCGAGGGTGTGCTTCTATCATTTCTCATTCCAGAACGTCCTCAGAGAATGAGTTGCTCCATACAATTTATGAAAGGTTGAGGTGTTAGTTAGAAATTTTTTACTCTTTTCTATAGGGGCGCCGCTGAGGCGGTTCACCCAGCTCCACAGAACAGGGCCCCCGACTTTGGGGGGCCCCAAAATCGTGCACAAAATGCAGTGGTTAAAATGTAAACTTGCATCATATGAGGAACCACGCGGAGAAGGTTCTGGCTGTCTTGAGGTTGAGGCCGACGACGAGGTTGATGATGGGGAGGTAGAGGGACCCGCCGCCGACACGGCCTGCGCTCGAGAGGGAGGCTGCTCTGAAGCAGAGGAGACCGGCTATTAAAGTTCTCAGGGTCTTCATTGTTAATTTGGTGTTTGAGGAGAAGTTTGGATTTTATATGAGGAAGATAGGGAGTGAGAAAATGAGGAATTTTGATGGGATTAATTTGGTTTTGGGAATAGGAATTAGTGAGTCGGTGAAGGTTTTATGAGGGCTTATTATGACCACATATTTGATTTGGTATAATGTCACCCCCTAGAAATAAGGGAGTGAATATAAAAAATAATGATAGAGGCACACCCTCTATCACACTCCTAACCACTCCACCTCTATTGCTATAGTGCACGGGGCCCACATGATATTTTATTTTTTAAAATATCATGTGGGCCACGTGTGCTGTAGCAAGAGAGGTGGTGTGGTTGGGAGTGTGGTAGAGGGTGTGCCCCTAGTGCCTCCCGAATATAAATGGTCATATTAATGTGTTATTTGATTAATAATTTTTTTATTACGATACTTTCATTTGTAGCAGTGCTATTACACTTTGAAGATAGTTCAACAACAACGTGTCGCTTCGAAGTAAGGTTCATGTTACTTTGAAATAAAATTTGTATTAAACAAGTCCATTACCTTTTTTTATCTCAACTATGGTATGTCCTTTCGAAAGTCTCAAGAATCCATCCTAAATCTGTACAGCTGGGAATCCTTGTCCTATTATCAAATTGTTGCTCTATCATGCTGGGACTAGGACTAAAATTAGGGTTTTTCTTATTTTGGCCCCCAAAAATCATAAAGTCTCCAACAATCTGATATATTTTTAAATAAGTCCCCGCAAGTATGTAAGTTCTCTTGTATTTTTTGCTGCCACTAGTGTTGTTCCAGATCTTAGTGGCAAGTTTGTTCTCTTGTTATTTGTGGTTAATTCAATTTTATTAGAAAATGCTTAAATATTTTGGCTAAATAGCTTTTTAGTTGATGGGGGTAGTATTAAATCATTTTTTAAACCTAGTATTATAAAATTAAATCAATATCGAGTCGATTGAATTTGATTATGATTAACCTTTATCAAATTAAATCATTTTTTCTAATTACATTTGTTCCAACAAATGTACATCCCAATTCTGGGATCTGCAAAACATCTCACAAAATAGAAGTTATTTTTAGGATATAATTGAGAAAACCACCTTCAATGTAAATGTAAAACCAAATAAAAGTGTTTGCTATAATGGGAGTTAAGATCAAAAGGAAAAGTCATATTTGCGCTTTAACATGCTAAAGTTTCATCCATGTTTAACTTTAATATCCGCAAGTTCTGTTTTGACTTTTTTTTTAATGGGCTATTTCAACAATTTGATATCTCAAAATTTTCAAAATTGACGTTAATTGAACTCTTTAATACCTGAAAGCCCTAATGTTTGTTCCTCACTTTCTCCAACCCCGAATAACTAAAATTTGATAAGATAATTGCTTTCATTTGCCTTTATGTGCTGACATTTTTGAACAAATCAACTCTAAAGTTTTTCAATATGGGGTATAAAATTGGCAAAATAAAACGTTAAGCTATCAAAATTAAAAAACCGTGAACTTTTGGAGTACTAATGTGCAAAAAAGTCAAAGAAAAAGAGCTACGCATTGGCTTCAAAAAAAAATAGATGAAGAAGATAGCCAAAAATAGTCATATAAACTGAATCTTCCAGCGATCGGAGTACGAATGCTATCAAATAACCCACATACCCCATAACTTCCTCGTGTTTGGGTCAGATTGCTAGCTCTTCAATCTTCGAGGAGTTCTGGCAGAATTTGTACTCAAAATCATGTGAGGACTTACACTAATGATGCTCATGAAAGACTTGTTACGGAAAAAGTTTGGTAGTATTTCGTCGAAAAGAAATAATTCAGAGCATTTTTTTTTTTTGGTAAACTTTTGACAATTCGTAATAGTTTTTTTTTTTTTTTGCAAGTTATCCTATATATACAATTTTCTGAAAAAGAAAAACTGCTGGTAGTAAAGATACAAGTTACCCTATATTTATTTAGAGGTTTTGTTGTCTATATACCCCTCCAAAAAAAAACCGTATTTAAGATTTTGCCTTTGAATCTAAGCATTTGCTAATTTGCTTTACAATTATACCAGAACGAGCTAAAATTCCACTCAGGCTCTGTTTGGCAAAACTAGCTGAAAGCTACGAGATTATAGCTGAAAGCTGTTAAGCTAGCTGAAAGCTGTTAAATTGTAGCTGAAAGCTGTTAGCTGTGTAGCTAGCTGATTGACTAGAGCTGTTTGGCAAAAGTAGCTGTACAACTAGCTTAACTTTGTTAAATGACTAAAAAAGACATACAATATTATTGATATAAAATTAAAATTATTGGGGGCAAAAACGGAAGAAAAAAATTGGCAGCTCCTTCCCAAAGACAAACGCTACTTGAGATAGCTTTCCAAAAGCTACTTGCAAAAGACACAATCTCCAAAATAATCTCTTCCTATTTTTGGTCACCAAACAGCTCTACTAGCTTATTGACCAAGTCAATAAGACAGAAGCTCTTAGATAAGACACTTTTTTTTGTTGCCAAACAGTACCTCAATCCTAACGTCCTTAGCTTTTGGGGCAAATTGTAAACATACCCCTTAGTATCACTCAATTACAAATAGGCCCCCTGTAATTCTATTTGTGGCTAATACACCCCCTGTAGTATTAACCTAGGTGCGAATACACCCCCTTAATGTTATTTTTTTAAATGTTTTAAAAGAAAGGAAAATTAGGAATTTAGGGTCTATTCTCACCAATAGAGCTGTAGGAGTTCTATCCGCCTCATCAAACCTTTCTAGCAATTTAAAGAGTCTAACAATTTAACTCGGGGCGTCTCAAAAATAGAAATTTAGGGGTCTATTCCCAATTGAGAGATACTACTAAGGGCCTATTGGCAATTAACCTATAGTTTTTTAATAGCAAAGGTTGAATTTTTGCTGTTAGAATATAAAATTATAATCACCCTCAGCAATTGCCAAAGCTTTAGATTTTTGGCATAGTGAGACTTTTTAAGATGGTGTCAGAGCAACCTAGGTTGCAAGTTAGAATATAACATTATAACATTCAATTGTCACCGAAACTTTAGAATTCTAGTGCGGTGGCAGGGACTTTAATATAGTGTCATAGCAATCCATTATTCGAATCTCTCTTAATGTGTAAGGTATGTTAGAATATAAAATTGTAACTCTCAACCCACATCAAAACTCCGGAGTTTTATTATAGTGGCTTCTTGAAAATATATTTTTAACATAACCTTTTTGGAGTACGAACTCAATGTGATAGAACTGGGGGCAAATTGACAAAAATCTAGATTTGGGCAATTAAATTTACAAACTTGTTTGATCGAGGGTGTATAAATAAAAAAACCCAATATTTTATTGTCTTCGGATCTCGCTCTCCGAAGGCGACAGAGCCGTGAAATATACAGGCTCACACAGAGCGCTTTAAATCTCCTATCGCCATCGAAAACTTTTCATCTCTCCAGCAAAAGAAAAAGAAAAAGAAAAAGAAAAAAAAAAAAAAACGAATCCAACTTTTCGTAGATCCTCCAATGGCATACGGCGATCGCTTGACTACGTTCGAGGATTCCGAGAAAGAGAGCGAGTATGGCTACGTTCGCAAGGTAACCAATCTCGTTATACTAAACATTGCCAAATTTCTAATTGTTTTAATATTTATTATATCCAAAATTTATTTCTATTTTTGGCGATTCTTAGGTTTCAGGTCCGGTGGTGGTTGCCGATGGAATGTCCGGCGCCGCCATGTACGAGCTCGTCCGCGTCGGCCACGACAATCTCATCGGCGAGATCATTAGATTGGAGGGAGGTTCTGCTACAATCCAAGGTAATAATTTCGGTTTATTTTGTTATTGGAAAATCTGGGTTTTTCATGAAATTTCCATTTTGTTGATGTTTGTGTCTGTTGCTCAGTGTATGAAGAGACTGCGGGGTTAATGGTCAACGATCCCGTTCTCAGGACTCGGAAGGTATTGAATTGTTGTGAGTTTGGTTTAGATTTTGTTTTGTGTAAATAAC